CCCCAAAACCCCAAAACCCCAAAACCCCAAAACCCCAAAAACAATATATAAATTTACAACACCGCTGATAAAATGAAGGGTGTACAAAGATATGTAAAAACAGGTACAGATGTACGAAAAGTCTTATTCTCACCAATAATACTCATAATTTCGATTAATGATCTCACCAATCTCTATTATAGTACATCTTGAAGCCTTACCGATATGTCAGGGATAAGTTCAGAGAATACTTCAGATTGTATACAGCGCCTGGAACACGAGTATACTATTTAGTTGATTTTAAATAGCTCCATCCTCTCGCAGTTTATATGGGAGATAAATTTCGTAATCTTAAGAGAAGATACAAAGATGATGAAGGTACATCTTCTTCTTACAAATAGATATTAAATGGTTTAATAGAGGGAAAGAATATCTCCCAGAGCTTAAGGAAACCTTCAGGGTTTGAAATTCATTAGAAATTAGAGATCTTCTTTTTCGAAGTCATTTTGCCCAAGTGGTCAATTCAGGCTCAGCATATGGTCAAACCTTGTAATTTAGAAGATGTAAATATATAGAAAATTTTGTGAGAGAACTAAATCAAGTCTGAATGTTCGGTTTCATAACGCGCTTGAAAATCCATCATTTGCGATGTTACTGGATCGATTATATATCTATTCAGCACCTTCGACAACTGAAGTAAACGAGTACGGGAAACCTATTCATGAGAAATGGACACTTCATAGAATGATATCAGAGATAAGAGGAGTCACTACCTTTCTGTCGACTGATGAAAGAGTATTTCTCCTTTCCTTATTCTCCATATTTGTGTTCTATGTTATGATGGGTTTGATTAATTACATGCAAGTTGGAGATGAAAATGATTTTATGAATCTCACAAGAGATTTACAGTATTTGAATTTACAAAAAGAAGTAATTGAGTTGAAAAAGGTAGGCATTTGTTGTTTTAATACTTAGCTACATTTACAACTTGCAAAATTAATACACGAATATGCAACTTCCTAATCCTCGTTTAATTTTCAATCTTTGTGAAAATAATTGGGGTTTTGGGGTTTTGGGGTTTTGGGGTTTTGGGGTTTTGGGGTTTTGGGG